GACAGAGATTTGTCCTGACTGTGGGCAAGGCAGGAAAACTCTAGCAACACTCCTCCCTACCACTTCCTATCAGCTAGTTGCTGACTCAGCCTCCTGACCACAGGTGAATTTTGTTTAATTAAACACATCTTTGCATCATTAAGCAAACGTTCCAGGGCATGAACAAAAGTAACACACCTTAAAATAATATGCTACAACAAAAGAACCCTTTGTGAAAACCACAAATTGCTCACATGTTGCTGTGAGAATGGAGACTGGATTAATGTTTAAGACAGCAGAGTCTGGGCCTGGAGAGATGGCTCAGCAGTTAAGAACACTGGCTGCTCTTCCAGCTCAATTCCCAGCACCCATGAGGCAGCTCACAAGTGTCTCAACTCAAGTTCCAGGGGGTCTGACACCTTCTTACAAACATACAGGCAAAACACCAAGAATATAAATAAAAAAAATTAAAAGACAAAAAGAAGTGCTGAGGAAGATGAATAAGAAGGCTTGTAATTGGGGGTGCCACTGCAAAACTAGACAGGTAAGAAGAGGGACCGGGTTCTGGGCCGGTGCATCCCGCATGCCCCTCCCAAGCCTTGAGGAGCGTGTGCAAGCCACTGTTGTCCTTTTGTATGTTCTTGCTTCTCATGCAGCTATTTTCAATTTTTAACTTTTAATTTTTAAAGATTTATCTTTTTTTTAGTTTATGTGCATGTGTGTTTTGCCTGCAGGCATGTCTGTAGACCACATATGTGCAGTACCTACAGGGGCCAGAAAAGGGCTTTGAATCCCTTGGAGCTGCTGTGAGCCTCCCTGTGAGCGCTGGGAATCAAACTTGGGTCCTCTGGAAGAGCAGCCAGTGCTTTTAAGAGCCAGCTTTCCAGCTTTTTTTTTTTTAAGATTCATTTGTTTAGAGCCAGGTGGTGGCGCACACCTTTAATCCCAGCACCCCCGAGGCAGAGCCAGGTGGATCTCTGTGAGTTCAAGGCCAGCCTGGTCTACAGAGCAAGTTCCAGGACAGGCACCAAAACTACACAGAGAAACCCTGTCTCCAAAAACAAAAACAAACAAAAAGATTCATTTGTTTACTTTATTTTGTATGTATGTGTGTATACCACATGCATTCGGGTGATTGTGGAGGCCAGAAGAGGCTAACAGATCCCCAGGAACTATAGTTATAGGTAGTTATAAGTAAGCCACTTGATGTAGGTTTGGGGAGCTGAACACCTAGGTCCTCTGAAAGAGCAGCAAGCACTATTAACTGTTGAACCATCTCTCTAGCTCCTAATGCAGTTAATTATAGCAGCTTTAGTAAAGATAGCATCAACAAAACCCACCTGTTTCAGGAGGGCACTCAGACCACCCCATAGACATGGAGCTGAACATGAGGTGATTAAGAAAGACTGCAGCTACATATTAATGTCTGTGATAGAGTCAACAGCAAAGCCACATGCTCTTATATAAATGTGAGAACAAAGATGTTTAGTGTAATTAACAGCACTTGAGATACCTGCAAGGTCAGAGGCTGTGATGCTAGTCAGTGACTAACAGCTAGAAGACAGCCAAGGCCAGCAGCTAACAAAGCACAAGGCAGAAATGGACAGAAGTGGACAGAAGTGGCTGTAACTATCCCTAACGGGGTGGACAGTTTATGAACTATGCATGTCCATACAAAGCTATACTGTGAAAGGGATCATCATATTCAAAAACCCTCCAACAAACTTGAGGTCTATTTGGTTTTTGTGGTGGTTTAAATAGGAATGGTCCCCCATAGACTCAGGTATTTGAATGCTAGACTTACAAGGAGTGGAGCTATTAGGAGGTGCGGCCTTGCTGGAGTAGGTGTGGCTTTAATGGAGGAAATGTGTCACTGGGGGCAGGCTTTGAGGTCTCAGAAGCTCAAGCCAGGCCTAGTGTGCCTCAGTCTCTTCCTGCTGCCTGTGATCCAGATGTAGAACTCTCAGTTCCTTCTTGAGTCTGAGGTCTGACTGCATGCCACCATTCTTCCTTTTTCCTTTTTGCTCTACTTCAGCCACAGAGGTCTTCTTGTTGCTCATGTGAGTGAGTGTGTGTGTGTGTGTGTGTGTGTGTGTGTGTGTGTGTGTAAAATGGATAAGAAATGGTCCCAAAGACTCATGTATTTTAGGTTTTGTCTTTAATGTGACAGTGTTCAGATGTATGTGTGGGTGGGTGGGTGGGGGGTGGCTTCCTGAGAGCTGATTGGATCATGAGGTCTAAATTCACCAGTGGATTGCTTCCCCGTGATAAATTCATAGCTCAATGGAGGTTTAGAAAATTCGGCCTGGTTGGAGGAGGTGGGTCTCTGGGCATGGCTTCAGAGGTAGATCTTGTGTCTGGACTCTCTCTCTTGCTTTCATTCTATCACTCTGCCACGCTCATGCTGTCTCTCTCTTGCTGTCTCACTCTTTCCCTTTTTTCTTTCTCCTCCTCCCCTCGTCATGGTATCTTGCTTTGCTGAGGTCCAGAAACATGGGATCTAAGCAACCACAGATGAACACATCTGAATCTTCCCTCCTTTAAGTTACCACAGGTACTTTGTCATAGCAACAAAGAGTTATGACTAGATGTATGCTTCTGCCTTAAAGTCTTGGCAGTAGCTACCCGCCATCTCCTGCTATTCCCCAAGTACTCAGAACCCATTTCCTTAGTCTTTCTTTAAGAGGTAGGGCTGTTCAATAGAAAAGCCAAGTAGGAAACAAGAAGGAGTAAATGCGTAATTTCAGTCTGTAAAACAGATACTAGTCATTGCTTATTTCCAAACCAGAGACCATTTAATGTTGCAAAAAGAGATCTCTTTCCTTTGCATGAAATGATGAGTTAAATAAATGTACAAATAAATCAGGACTAAAATTTGATGGATTTCTGTGGAAGAGAGGGAGGAAGGCTTATAGGAGCCAGAGGGTTCAAGGACACCATAAAAAACCCACAAATGAACTAACCTGGCTCATAGGGGCTCACAGAGACTGAAGCGACAATCCCAGAGCCTGCAGGGTCTGACCTAGGTCCTCTGCATATATGTTATGGTTTTATGGCTGTATAGCTTGGTCTTCTTGTGGGACTCCTAGCTGGTAGCAGGGGTGTGTCTATGACTCTTTTGCCTGCGTTTGGGACCCTTTCCTGCTATTGGGTTTTCTAGTCCAGCCTTGATATGAAGGGGGGGGGGGTGCCTAGTCTTATTGCAACTTGATATTGCCATGTTTGGTTGATGTCCCTGGGAGGCCTGCCCTTTTCTAAAAGGAAACAGAGGAGGAGTTGGGAGGGGGGCTGAGAGGAGAAGAGGGAGAGGAAACTGTGGTTGGCATATAATATATGAGAGAAGAATAAATTTAAGAAAAATTAAATTAATGGATTTCCTGGAAAAGAAGGAAACAGAATAATGAGTACAATAGCTTCTGAAGAAGTCACTAGTTGCATAACTAATCTGGACAAAATGTATTATTTAAAACCATTCAATCATGCCCTTATCTTTTCTAATTCTTGCAGGATGCCTCATGGTATAATCATCTGACTGTATCTCTGAAACATCATTAGGATTTGGGAAGCATGTTAACAAACACTTGATGAAGCCACTCTGAAGAAAACACCATTAATCATGTCATCTGATAAAAGACACGTCAGGTCTGTTTCGACATTTACACTCATACTGAATTTCTGTAGATAGTCCTTGGTGCATAGAGATCAGGCATCTTTATTGTGAATGAGATTAGGAATTAGGCATCTTTTTTATTATTTAACATAATTTCTTCATTGAATCTTTGAGAATTTCACATCGTGAGCCCCAATTCTGCTCACCTCCCAGTCCCTCCATATCTTCCCCTCCAGCGGCCTCCAAATAAAAATAAAAAAAAAAAAAAAACCCAAAAAACAAACCAAACTAAAACAAGCTAGCAAACAAATAAAAACAAAAAGAAAAGCAAACAAAAGCCCCAAAGAACAAAACAAAACAACCATATAAAACCTCTGCATTCCTCCATCTTTTCCGCCTCTCCAATACCTCTTCATTCATCCTGGTGGCATTGGGAGCCATGGTGTGTCACTCGGTTGTTGTAGAATATTATTTTAAGGTGTGTTACTTTTGTTTATGATCTGGAACATTTGTTTAATGATGCAAAAGATGTGTTTGGTTAAATAAAATTCACCAGCAGTCAGGAGGCTGAGTCAGCAACTAGCTGACAGGAAGTGGTAGGGAGGAGCCAGGTGGAGAAGGGTTTATAAGGAGGGCTGAGGAGAAGCAGGAGGGCTTTTTGGAGCACTCAAGCAAGTAGAAGAGGTGAGCTACTTGCTATTCAACCTCTCTGAAGAGCAGAATTCCACCTTAACCTTTGAATGTTGAGTTCCTTTGAGGGAGAGAGGTTTAGTTAAGTTGCCTTTGTAACTTTGCAAGAGTCGGACCCTGAGGGAACAGAATTCCCCCAGGCTGTGCCTCTTGTGGCCTGACTGCTGCTGGCAGTGGCGGAGTTGCAGTTGCTGGCTAGGACAGCTGTGGCTTAAAAGGCGGCAACCATTAAATAGAAGGACAACACCCAGGAAACCCTGTGCTCCGTTAGCTTTACTCCCAAGTGTTCATTTCAATGCGTCACTGGCCTGGTCCAAGGCTTCTGGTTTCTGGTACACCATCTGCACTGGATCCTCCCCAAAACTCGGCTTGGGTGTCTGAGGTCCCCCAAGTCATGGAGATCCTGTGGTTATTGTTACTTCACTAACCAGCTCAACTGCCACCTAGACTCACAGTCCAGCCTGGGGTTGGCCCAGCCTAACATCTCCCTATCTGGGATTAGGCATCTTTATTGTGAATGAGAGATGTATATTGTTTAGATCTAATTTCTCAAAAGGCAACCTACCCAAGATGCTGTGGTTTTCAGTTGTAGATGCTTTCCAGGGCAATTCTCTTTGCTCATTGCTGCTCAGTCCCCCCAAAATGTACAATTTCCATTGCATCGGTCATCTACTGGAAATACATTACAAAACCTACAAGAGTGCCCCGGGGCTTTTTTGAGTAAATGAAAAACCTTAGGTTGGTATTTAAGACATTTCATTATTGCTAGGTTTATCCTTCATTAGGGAATTTTCTATCAACTTGAAAAAAATCAGTGGAAGCATAATAGCTGAGTATCCAACATTCTGTTGTCTTCTGAGTGTCTGCCCTTGCCTCCTCTGAGAAGGCTGATTGTGCCCATGAGTCACATACCTAATCTCTTTTGCAAAAGGTTATCCAGGCACGCCCTGGGGCCTCTGTCCAGAGCATGCTTTACCAATAAGGAATTTCTTCATTTTAGCATCTTTTGCAAGGCTAGCTAGGCTCAGAACTTACCAAGTAATTGCTCCTGGCTCCCAGCTCTGTTTTACTGGGTTGTTCCTTCCACACTTCTACTGTTTTCTATTGTTTTCTCGTAAGTAGCACAGAGGAATGACGCTATCTACAGTGTTTAGGCTGGAATCTCTGAAGCCAAAAATGTCCAAGTTCACCACTTCCAGGTTGTTTCTGTTCAGAGCAGAACTACTCTTCTGCCATTTTACAAGTGCAGACATTCCTTTAGCTTACAATAATCTGTTTGCCATTTTGTTTTGAAGCCTCACCAGAAATACATCTAATATTCATCTTTTGCTAGCAATCTGCTTATGGTGATATACACATACACACATACTCTCTATCACACACACACACACACACTCAAACTCACACATATACACATATACATGTACATACTTGTACTCAAATACACACACATATACATTCACACCACATACACACACACATAAACACATGCATATACATATACCGTACATACCATATACTCATACACATACATACAACATATACACAAATTTGTATACATTCATTCACACACGTGCACATATACACATGCACATACCCACTTCAAAGCAATCTAGCCTTTCTTTTATTTTCTTTCTTTTTTTTAATGTATATGGGTGTTTTGCCTTGCCTGTGCTGGGTGCCCAAAGAGGCCAGAAGAGCACATTCAGTCTCCTGAAACTGGAGTCACAGAAGATTTTGAGCTCCTATTTGGGTGCTGGGAACTGAACTTAGGGCCTCTGCAAGAACCACAAGTGTTATTAATTTTTGAGAAATCTCTCTAGCCCGGCTAGCTTTGTCATTCATGTTCAGACCCTAAAATCCTCCCAGCCTTACACATTCCCTATTCAAAAGCCGCTTCTAAGACAGGGCATGCTCGGGGTGGAATGACCATAGATTGGGACCTGAGTCATATTAGTTCTCTAGACTTGCAGCCAACAAGCTACCAACTAGATGTATTTAAATACATAATATTTACTATGCAAATTGATAGCCTTAATTTACTTTGTATTCTGTGAGAAGTTTGTCTCAAATAACTGGTTGCATGAAATTGACAAGCTTTATTTAAACAGGGGAACAGTCTTACTATCAGTCTTAATGTAGAAGTTTCACTGTAGTATATATTATATATGTTCATATGCATGATCAAGGAATTTATTTATTTTCTTCAAGGAAACAGAAGGATCATAGTATTAAGCTGTTATTGATACCACATGAAGACGCTCATCAGATGCATTGCTATGGTCTGGATAGATGAACGGCTGGATAAAGTCCATGAAAATATGTCCAGAGGCTCATTCTCCACTTCAGAGAATTTGTGTAGACAGCAGGAGTGGATGCCAAGGCAGGGGATCAGGAGAACACCTCCACAGGGACTCATGAGAATGAGTATCCCAAAGATGATACAGCTAGGTGCTTCCTTCTGCTAACACAGTCAGTTGCTCCATTAAATGGAACACGTGTGCATGGAATTCCTGCAAGAATACATGGGTGTGTCCTGAGAATCTAAATTCTGCAGAATTGTGTGTACAGTCCTGTTTCCACTACTATAGCTTTATGTGTTAATATACTGTAACAAAACACACTCAAAAAATCCTTCATGAATTTTGCTCACTTTTTTTCCAGATGAACTTTAGAAAAGCTTGTCAAGTCTGGTTTATTAAAAACTCCTATAAGGATCTTCATTGGGTTTATGACAACTAGATAATCTGAAGAAGCTGTCAGTGCAGTTTCATCCTTCCTACTCAGGTTCTAGTATACTCATTTCAGACATTTCTGTATTCCTTAGCAAATGTTTTGTAGTTTGCATGGGGGTTTTATTACTACTGATAGATGGTATTGCTTTAGGCTATGGAGCTATATAACATATATGAATGGATATGAGATAGGGTCTCACCGTGTATCTCAGGCTGTCTGGCCTGACACTCATTATGTAGCATAAACAGACCTTGAACTCTCAGTCCTCCTGTCTCGGCTTCCCAAATGCTGAGAGTTCGTAACTTCAAGCAATACTTTTTAGAAGGAACCATAATGGTAAAGTTTCTTAATCTTTTAATACTAAAAAAGATTTGCTGTAGTACTATCTTCATATCAGAATGAACACAGGAAGTTGTGTTTAAACCACTTCTTTAGAAATAAAAAGATGTTTTGTTCTATCCTGCTTATTCTCTGGCAGTTCCTATGAGAAGCCAAATAGCCATTTGAACACTGCTTTTTTAAATCTATCTTGTTTTTGTTTCAACCTTTAGAAATTCTTGAGGCTTTTCTCTATTTTCTTGGAGATGAGAAATTTCACACAATCTTTGTAGCCACCCACTTCCGTACACACCCAGATCTGCACTGGCTTTCCTTAAAAGACACGAGAGCATCGTCTTGAAATACAGAACCAAGGTCTTTGGGCAGGCCAATCTACCACAGTGGATGAAGATGAAACTGTGGAAGGCACTGCATGCCAACTGAGCTCTACCAAGGTGTTGGTAGGCAGCTACAGCAAAACACCGACTGCAGATATTACAGATCACCTCCCGGAGACCTTGCTTCCCACAGGCTGTGAACAGTTGAGCCCGGCTCCGTATGTGCCCAGGAAGAGGGCAGCACCTGGACAGAAAGCTCGAGTGAAAGGAGACTCCACTGTGTACACCTGAAGATCCCAATGCTGTCTTAACCTGGGAGCTGCTCTTGCCTTCCCTTGAATTTAGAATCCAGGAGAGTGGCTAGGAGTGCCCAGGGTGCTTGCTGAAGTTTCCCATAGGCCCTGGTGAACTTGCAGCATGTGATTGTGTTGGATAGATCAAGTGGATTTGTGGCTGATGTGTCCTCACGTAGTTTGATGCAACATGTTGGGAGATGAGAAACCGGGCAGGAATGTGGCTTTGTGAAAGCCTCGGAGCTCACAGTTGGAGAAGTCAGAATAAACCAAGGCAGGAAACCCCGCAATCCCCTATCTCTTGAGGCTACAGTGGACACAACTGGGTCTCTTATTGAACATTCCATCAACCACAGAGGCAGAATAATGAACAGGGTTTATTTTTATTTCATCTTACTGCATTTAAAATTTATGTCATTGTGTTACAAAGGAACATGACTGAACAGGTAGGAAACAGATTCTCCGTTGTGAGTTCTTCGGATGGCTTCTGCAAGAATCATAGAGATGTCAATCACCCGGATTTTGGGGCAGTGCTTCATCTTGTCCTCCTGAGGTATGGTATTCGTGACCACTACTGCTTCAAAGCTTGCACCATTGATACGAGCAATGGCTGGGCCAGAAAAGATCCCGTGAGTCAGGATGGCGTAAACCCTGGTG